TTTTTTTTTAATCCATGATCAATTTTTTTGAAAATTTGTTTTTTTTTTTTAATTCCATATTATTCAAAGAGAAAACGAGAGAGATGATGATTCTGAGGCCACCCTATCCTAGCCATATTATTCATATATCGAGTCCCAACAGCAACAGTGTAGGGATGAGCACGAAATACTGTAAATTAAATGCTGAACGGCGGTTCATGCAGGGAAAGAACATATCAATATTCGCATATTCATTCAAAAACATGAAAATTCTTAATAGAGTACCCTCATTTTTTATTGAATTCCTAAAAACCAATATTTATAATGAATTTTAATAATTTTTTCGAATTTTTTTTAAGCTTTATTCTGAACGATTCACCCAATTTCCGATTCGGATCGCCGATTCGTCGATCCGGATCTGGTTTTTGGAAGCTCGATCCGGATCACAGATCCGTTTTTTAAACCATCGGAACAGAGTTTAGATATTTTAAAATATAATATTTATTTTGTATATTAGTTAGTATTACACATTTTCTATGTTTGCCACTGTGTCGAGTTGAGTCAGGTCGGGTCAAACCTGAACATAGATCCGACCTTGACCTGGGAAACAACGTACTAGGTCAGAAACATGGACTGGGACCCGTTCGGGTCGAGTGACCCGATTGCCACCTCTACTTCAACAAAGTGAAAATGGTCATCCGGAAAGCCGACCCAAAAAGGGCGTGGTGGACCCCTAGCATGGCCGGGTTAGCGGACTTGAACTTATGCTTATGCCCCTGGAGCTTTACTGGGCCTGGACAGCTCACATCCAACCCTTTGCTTATAAAATATTACAGTGTAACGTTTCATGGGCATTTATGTAAGTTCCTGCAAAGGATCTCTTAACTGGAAACCCTAACCGTGAGAATGGATCTCCACCGTGGATCACAAAACTTAGGTTCAAGGCAGGCTCTAGGGTTTATATAAATCCTCGGGTCTTCATTTCCAGTCCGCCAGGTTCTGCAGATCGCATTCGCTCTCTGCTATTTCCTTTCTCTCTCTAGAGCTTCTGCGGATCCTCTCCCTCCTCCCTACTGCCCTTGAACTAACAGGTGTGATCATGATATTTCTCTCTCTCTCTCTCTCTCTCTCTCTCTCTCTCTCTCTCTTGTTTTGAGCCCTCAGCTCTTTCTGTTGCACAAATGGTAGACCTTATGTTTATTCAGCTCTTTCTAGTTTCCATTCACCAGATTTGCTCTGCATCTATCTTGCTTTCTTTCTTTCTATTCTCTACTTTTTCCATGAGTTGGCTAGAGCTTCAGATCCACGTGATCTTTGTATTTTCCCAATGCTTAATGTTTTAATCGTCAGTAAAATTTTATTTGATTTTATTTTATTTTTTCATATTCATTTTTTATTTTAGTTTTTATTTCTTTATCATGTTTGTCCCAGCCATATTTGACTAATAAAAATTGGGGTTTAATTTATTTTTTCATATTCAATTTTTATTTTATTTTTAATTTTAGGATTATGAATTGCCCTAGGATAAGTTATAATTAATTTGGAAGGAGAGAGGATTTTGTGAATGAGTTGTTTAGAGATTAGGGTGGTGCGTGATTTGTTTTGATCATTTGGGTTGTTTAGTTTTTAAAGAGATAAATATAAATAGGATGAGTTCTAGCAAGAGGGGGTTTATCTTCTCAATTGTTGGCAACGTTAACCCTTCTAAGGGAAACTTTACTTTTTGGTTAGGTAAGACGTGAGGTTATCATCTAGAGATAACTCTCTAGGGTTATAGAAAATTACTTTTTTGGTTAGGTTAAACGAGGGGTTATCATCTAGAGATAACTCTCAAGGGTTATAGGAAATTACTATTTTGGTTAGGTAAAACTTGGGGTTATCGTCTAGAAATAACTCTCAAGGGTTATAAGAAATTACTTTTTGGTTAGGTAAAACGTAGGGTTATCATCTAGAGATAACTCTGAAGGGTTATAAGAAATAGTCTTTGAATATTTTCTAGAAACTTTACTTTTTGGTTTGGTAAAACGTGGGGTAACATCTAGAGATAACTCTCCAGGGTTATTAGAAATAGTCTTTTAGATAAGGATGGAAGGGAGATTTTAACGTGAGGTAGTAGTTGTAAAAGGAAGCTCTACCATATAGAGAGATGCAAGATTGGAATTGAGTAAAGTTGATCGTGTGGAAAGATCGTTTGGGGTCGATTCCCTTAGAATTCGACAGAGAGTACATTCCCTTATAAAACTCGACAGATTCCCTTATAGAACTCAACAGAGGGTACATTTCCTTATAGAACTCGACAGAGGGTACATTCTCTTACTTTTTATTTTTGTTGTAGTTATTTTGTCTCTCCATTCTCCCGATGAATATTATTAGTTCCATTTTTCTGTATCAGTTGGATATTATAAGATCCATTCTTTCTTTCAATTTTTTCATTGCTAAGTCGCTCCAAATTTTTAATATGATAATTTTTGTTCATTTTTTTGTTGATTTTCAGAAATAAGGTGATTTGTTATCTTCCTAGGATTGGTGTATTCTTAAAGGCTATTCTTATCGATATCTCAGCCTCCCAGGCATCGGATTGTTTTTCATAGTTTTTTTTTGAACACTTGACAACAGATTTGCTAATGATTTTTCTTCCCTTTGCTTTTATTTGCTCAGTTAAGAAATGAATTGTTGCTGATCCAAAAGATATTGTTTGGTTAATAATTGTTTTGGATCTTATCTGAATCTTAATTCTTCAAGTTTTTTTTTTTTGTTTCATTACATCAAAGTTTTTGTTTGGTTATTTATTTTAAAATAATATAGGGGCTTCATGTTTAGGATGAGAATTGGTGCATATTAATCTCCAGACTACCATCCTTTTCATGTTTACACCATTGGATTATGAGATCTCCTCATTGTTTTTTTTGTAGCTTTTATTTTGTGATAGATGTGTTTCTGTATGAAAAGGTTTTTTCCTGCATTTTTTTTTATGTTTTTTTCCTGCTCTATATTTTGTGGTGTTTTCGATTCTTACCTTATTAATTATTTTTGTCATCCTGCTATTTTTTAGCTGCTGATTGTTTTCAATTCTTTCTGATAATAATTTTGTTGTTTCATATATGAAAATTCAGAAATATCTTGTTTTGAGATGTTTTTTTTTTGACTGAGGATTTATTTTGTTTTTGATGGTAAAATTCAGAAGTACCTTCTAAGATATAATATTTGTTGGTTTGGATTCTTAGAGATATCTATAGATAGGTTATTGAGATGGTAAGGTTATGTGATTTGGGCATTCATAAGTTGAGGTAGCTTCTTCATTACTGAATAGTTAGTTGGAATATGGGGATGATATAGTGCTGCGGTGTTGACTTACAAACTTGTGAGAATATTGTGATAGTGAATATGTTTGTTTATTTATTACCTTTTGAATGTGAATATATTTTGCCCTTTTTTAGGCATGTTTGGGGATTTTTAGAAAAAATTCTTCTCTCCATAAATGGTTACATTGTAGTCCCCTTTCCACATTAAAAATGTGGTTTAGAGTAGAAACTATATATATGATTGGAATTCTTTTGTAATTATGTCTATGTTCCTATGATTTTGAAATTTGAATATAGTTACATAGATCTTTATATATTGGATTCCACTGTGTTATTTACCTTTTTTGTAACATTAAAGTTGTTTTAAATTCTAGTCTTGAAAGTTTTTCTCTATGTCATAATTTTAATTGTGACTGGTTGTGCTCTTTAGTTTTCTATTACTTTAGCTACTTGGCTTGTTTTCTATTACTTTAGCTACTTGGCTTGTTTCATATCTTTACCCATATGATTGCATGATCTGTTATATTTCTAGGTTGGATTATAAGATACCTGATACTGGTTCTATTGATGAATGAAATTTTTATAACTTAATTGTGCTTTTAAAGTAAATGAGATATTATTTTCTAGGTTTCCAATTGTTCCATTTGATGCAAGACTGTCTCAATGCTTTTTTTTTTTTTCAACGGACATTTTTCTAATTTTTTGCTTTATATTTACATGCTGAAATATAAAATAGAAAGATTGCATTTTCAACCATTTGTGAGTTTAATCTCAAGTCTCCTTCCATTGGCAACAGTTCTTCTTCAGTTCTTTCTATCCACCATGATTCCAAGAAGTTCCCTCAAGGGGCACATTCAGATTCTTCTTTTTTCAAACAAGAAAATAAACCGAGGAATGTGAAAATAGGAATTGGATAGAAGGGCTATCACTGGAAAGCGTCCATTGTCTAATGGATAGGACAAAGGCTATCATACCTTTGGTATAGGTTCAAATCCTATTGGACGCTATTCATTTTGTTTTTTTATATACAACAAACATATGATGAATGATTCAACTTGGAGGTATTTCCCTCTCCATGCACCAAAAGTTACTAGTCTGTGGCTCAGTGATAAATGATTAAATCCGCATATAACAAAGGAGAAACTATAAAGGAAGTGTCAACCTTGTTGATTTATGATTAGGGGTATCCAGTTTATGTTCTTGTTGACTCTTTCTGGAGATTGATTGCAATGGGTTTAAGTCCAACCTAAGCATTTAGTATTCATCTTCCTCTATATCTCATCGAAAAGACAATGTGGCTGCCGTTGTAGAGTATAATATTGTGATATCCACTGGATATTGTGTTTTCGCTAATTGGGATGCACATACAACTATTCAATGAGTTGAGAAAACATTAGTAACCTGTATACTGCATGTAGGTTATGGTTGTTTATAGATATGTCAGTAGTTTGTCAATGGTTCACGTGTCATCGGGATTATTGGTTGGGCATGCAGGAAGATGAATCTCATAGCCAATTTCCTTGATGGATGCATGATTATTTACATTTCTCGGATGTGTAAATATTACAATTATTTGTAAAGAATGTTGTTTGTTAAACACATGGTTGTTGTTATTGGAATGCTAGGATTATGTCTCATCAGTTTTGCTTCTTTTTGGGTTCTAACTCATTTATCTTGTTAGGTATGCTATAATTTTGCTTATGGTGCATCTTTTCATCTGCAGTGTTATATCTTGCGTATTGAAAGATGGGTAAGGAGAAGGTTCACATTAACATTGTGGTCATTGGCCATGTCGACTCTGGCAAGTCCACGACCACCGGGCACCTTATCTACAAGCTTGGAGGTATTGACAAGCGTGTGATTGAGAGGTTCGAGAAAGAAGCTGCTGAGATGAACAAGAGGTCATTCAAGTATGCTTGGGTTCTTGACAAGCTCAAGGCTGAGCGTGAGCGTGGTATCACCATCGACATTGCCCTATGGAAATTCGAGACCACCAAGTACTACTGCACTGTCATTGATGCCCCCGGCCATCGTGACTTCATCAAGAACATGATCACTGGTACCTCTCAGGCTGATTGTGCTGTTCTCATTATTGACTCAACCACCGGTGGTTTCGAGGCTGGTATTTCCAAGGATGGCCAGACTCGTGAGCATGCTTTACTTGCCTTCACCCTCGGTGTGAAGCAGATGATTTGCTGCTGTAACAAGGTAAGATCATTTGTCGTATGCTTTTATGGATGTATTTACCTAAGCATGGTTTTCACTTTTTTCTTCTGTTATAATATTTGGCACTGTTGTAGACACTTTGATAATTGGTGCATGAATAAGACTTGTCAATTTATTTTTTCTTTTTTCTTTTACTGTGAATTGTATTCAATCTTTGATATGTTTGATTGTGGAATTTTTTTGTGGTCATGTTGAAAAAAAATTGACTGTAAATTTTCTGAAGAGAGACTTTGAGGATCTGTACAAGTAGAGTGGTGTTCCAGTGATTTCTTACAAATGTAATGGAGATAGTGCTACTCTTTACTGTGTCCTTAATCCTGTAGCGTGGGTGATATTTCCTGCATTAAGTCCTTGTATTTTGAAATAAAGATTAAATATGAGTTACTTGTCATTTCCATTTGGTTGATTTGCCGTTTCTGTTCTGGCCTGTTCTGGCAAAATGTTTCATGTTGCTCAACAATTGGCTTCTAAGCGAGATACTTGTGCTTATCATTGCATGGTTTTGAAATACACTAAAAAACTTACTTGGTTGTTGTATGCATGCACTGCTTTCATGGTGTAAACTTTAAGTATTTGTCCTCTCTTTAATTTTTTGTTGTTGAATTACACCAAACTTGTTACTGAAGAACTTGCATGTAATTAAGGCAGAAAAATTCACTTGTCCATGTTCTCTGACCCCAGAGTTTACTGTGTTCTCTCCTATAGATGGATGCCACCACCCCCAAGTACTCCAAGGCCAGGTACGATGAAATTATGAAGGAGGTTTCGTCCTACATCAAGAAGGTGGGATACAACCCCGACAAGATCCCATTTGTGCCCATATCTGGTTTTGAGGGAGACAACATGATCGAGAAGTCAACCAATCTTGACTGGTACAAGGGCCCCACCTTGCTTGAGGCCCTCGACATGATCCTAGAGCCCAAGAGGCCCTTCGACAAGCCCCTTCGCCTACCACTTCAGGATGTCTACAAGATTGGAGGTATTGGAACTGTCCCCGTGGGCCGAGTGGAGACTGGTGTCCTTAAGCCTGGTATGGTGGTTACCTTTGCTCCCTCGGGGCTCACCACTGAGGTGAAGTCTGTTGAGATGCACCACGAGGCTTTGCAAGAGGCCTTGCCTGGCGACAATGTGGGGTTCAATGTGAAGAATGTGGCCGTGAAGGATCTGAAGCGGGGATTCGTGGCCTCCAACTCTAAGGACGATCCTGCCAAGGAGGCAGCCAACTTCACCTCACAGGTAGCTGATTTTGCATTGAGTTTCAATTTAATGATGAATGGGCATTAATTGGGTTTTACATGATCACCGGAGTATGTTTTGTTGCTGTGTTTGCATTGTCTTTTCAATTTTTTGCCTGCAGTGGACCCACCAATGTTATTCTGCTTCTGAATTGCTTGTGGAGTATAATTTTAATCAACATTTATGTGGACTTAACAACTATTTTGGGTTTTTTAGTTTTTGTAAAATGGGGAACTTCTTTTAGATGGGTGTTACTGTAAATGAGCAACATCTCAATATAGTCAGTGTTCTGGGGGTGAAGCATGACTTACAAGTTCTGTATTTCATTTATTACAGAAACGTCAGGGCCAAATTTTCTTGGATACTTGAGTTTTCCAATCTAGGGTGTTTTAGATTTGCATTATGTTGTGTGGATCCAAGAATAAATACACTAATTATTCTTATATATATTTAATAACAAACCATTAATTCTTGTTGCTGATTTCTCTCTTTCAGGTCATCATCATGAACCACCCTGGCCAAATAGCCAATGGTTATGCCCCTGTGCTCGACTGCCACACCTGTCACATTGCCGTGAAGTTTGCTGAGATCCTCACCAAGATTGACAGGCGATCTGGCAAAGAACTTGAGAAGGAGCCCAAGTTCCTCAAGAACGGTGATGCTGGTTTCGTTAAGATGATCCCCACGAAGCCCATGGTGGTGGAGACCTTTGCTGAGTACCCACCCCTGGGTAGGTTTGCAGTGAGGGACATGAGGCAAACGGTGGCAGTCGGTGTTATCAAGGCCGTTGAGAAGAAGGACCCAAGCGGTGCCAAGGTCACCAAATCTGCAGCCAAGAAGAAGTAATGTTTTCTTACTCTTTACCTTTCTCTGAAAGGTGGACAGAGGAGCTGGTTAAAAAATGACCTTTTAGATTTTGAGATTTCTTTTCCGAGGCCTAAATATATATTTTGAGTCAGTTTTGTCATGGATTTTGCTTTTAGTTTAGATGAATTGGATTGGGTTTGTTGGTAGCTTCAGTTTTTTTTGGAGTTTTATATGATTTTGTATTTGGATGATGTCCTCTTTGTTCACCGATGGTTTATTTAAGGTTTGAATTTTATATGCATGGTAAAGGTGCATGTGAATTGGTTATTTTTTCCTTGTGAGAAATTTGGAGAGAATTGGTAGGCTAGAATTGGCAATGTGTTAGGTTCCAATTCGCCTAGCTTTAAATTTTATTGTTGGAGTTGAAAATAAATTCAGGCCATCACAAAGATTTTCAATACTAAAACATTGATACTTCAAGGTTTTAATATTTGGATTGTTTAGGCCTCAACCTTATACAATCCACCCTTTATATATATTGCCACTCTTTTCTAACTATCGGATCTGAATGAATGGTTGGGATACCTTGATCCATAATGAGCCTTAGACCATTTGATCTAGATCTAATGGCTTAGAGTAATTTATTGTTATTTTTTTTTACAATTAAGATGAATATGAAATTTGTGCATGTGATCGTCTCAATCTGGCGAACAAAAAAAAGTATTTAAATATCTTTAATATTTTTTGTAAATGCATGAGAGGATTAGACTTCTCAAATTTGGTGTTAATATATTTATTTATAAAAAAATAAAATAAAATAAAAATAATATTTGGGCTTGACATTGTGATTGGGGATGTCCTATTTGTCAGATCAAACAGTTGTGTGAGGGGTGGCGTATATTAATTTCTCTATATGTAGGGTTGTATAGAGAGATTTTCTGTGGTTTTACATGCTGTCAATTAATTGGGAGTAGGTTTTGACGTTGATGAAATTTACCTGTTTATTTTGAATCTAGATATAGAATTTGAAGAACTGGGTTGATTAATTGTTGAAATCTCATTGAAATTTGTAGCTTCAGTCACGTAAAACTCTCAATTAATCATCTCAATTTCTGCTATTATGTATGCGGCACAAAACAAGGATTTATAGTTTTTAAAAAAATTTATTTTAGTGTTTCAAGATCTGCATCATTTTTGAACCTTAAAATTTCATGATTCGAAGTTGAAAAAGATTTTTGAGAGTATTCGCATTTTGGAATCAGATTTTCGAGGCATTATTGCGATCACACTTTTGAAATGCATTTTGAAGTGAAAGACTCGCATTGATTTTGTTAATTATATTGTAATAGCGGGTTTAATGCTCTTAACGTGTGCCCTCATGTGCCAAATGTATTATTTCCTAAATATTAGAAATATATACATGGAGGCTATTTACCTTTAGTATAAGGGTACAGTCTTTGTTAATCGTTGGATGTAAAATCTAAGTCTTTGTTAATCGTTGGATGTAAAATCTAAGTGCTTGATATTGTGCTACCAAGTTGGCTTAAAGTTTCAAATTAGTTTTTTAAAATTGAAGTCTCAAATTATGTTTTTCAAATTTTGTGACACATCCTATTGTCAAATCTTATATCTAAATAAAAGTGAAAAGTGATTGTGACCTCCATGTACCGGAAGTAGATGGTTTCGTAGCATGCAATCAATGAGAAGTCTTCTCATTGTGACCTCCACGTACCGGAAGTAGATGGTCTCATGGTCTCGTAGCATGCAATCCCCTAAATATTTGTTTTTCTTGAAGATATGGTGCTCTTATGTGCCGTCTTTTTCCACATATGTCATTCATTATTGGGTGTGGTTTTATAAGGTTGCAACCTTAAACAATCCAATTAAGGCGCACCTCCAAATCTTATCATAACATATAATCTTGGTTTAAAAAATTCTTAAGATTATCTTAAAATCTATTTTCGTATTTAGTTATAAAATTTTTAACTCAAAAAATTGTTAAAATCAAGGAGATTTATAAATATATGCAACTCTTGAAAATAGACCGTCTAAATAATTTGTTGCAAGATGCATTATTTTTGAGACTCAATCTTTTTTTTCTATATTTATATATCTCGATGTTGAGATGATCAATTAAAATGTTTTCCAATATTAAAACAACCTTTTCTCCAATAGATTCTTGAGGTGCATATGTAATTCTATATTTTTAAAATACAACCTTATATAAACTTTTTCCTTCATTATTATGGACTTGTGTGTGTAGGTTACTACTCTCCTAGTAATTTTTTCTCGAGTTTTTGGGACAAAGTTCCTTAGTCTTTCCCTATTGAGTTTTGCTTGCCACTAACAGGCCGTACAAAGGGCAAAGGAAAAAGCTTTCTATGCTCCACTTGGGTGAGGAATTCATATATGTTACCCCTCTACCAAATAGAGGTTAAGATGGCCCAAATCGCAATGTCGTGTTTAAATACTATTTTATTTTTAATTTTTTTTAAAAATAATTTTGACACTAAATTTTGGGTGTCCAATCGTCTTTAAGCTTGCATCTATGAAAAATATTATTGATAAAGTAAAATGACCGAAATAACCCATAAAGTTTTAGGGGTAATTTGCTCACTTTTTTTTTTAAACTTTTTTTAGATGCGTCTTATTGATTTGATGGCATGCACCAAATTTCATATTCATATGATTTGTAAAAAATAAAATAAAATACTCAGAAACATCAGATCTTGATCAAACAATCGGTGTCTCACTTTGTGACATTGTGGCTGAAGTTATCCAAACAATTCATTCAAATCGGACGACCCGGATAGAGTGGCACATATAAATTCCAAACACCTTGTCAATGGAAAAAGCTAGAGAAAAGAACTAGTTTGTGGTATTATAGAAGGAAAAAGTTTAAATACGGTTTATACTCTATACTATTCAAGTAAGGCGCATCTCAAAAATCCACTAAAAGATAGTGCTCTAACGTTATAGAATGCTTCATGTGATCATTTCGACCTCGAGACGTGTGAATATGAAAAAAAAGAAGGAATTTTAAGTCTTAAAAATTGTGCAAGAGAGTGTTTTAATGTTGTTGGAGAATGCTTCACTGATCATTTTGACCTCGAGACGTGTGAAAATGAAAAAAAAGAAAGAATTTTAAGTCCTAAAAATCATGCACCTTGTAATACGTTATCTAGACTGTATAGTTTCAAAATTTTCTAGTGTTTATAGATTTACTTCCATATCATTTTTGGAACTTAACTTTTATAACTAGGGTAGATTATCAAGCCATTAATAAGGTTTTCGACAAGGTGTAAAGAAATGCTGCTCCATATTGGAATTGCCAGATGTGGATCAAGAATTGTCTGGGCCAAATCCTGCTAAATATTGGGAACTAGCCTGCTCCCCCCTATGAAACAACCGGTTTTGGTCGGTTCTCTGACAGAATTGAGGATCAACCCCACTTTCTCTATGATTGGTTCACTGATCTGGATTGTTGATTTTTTGAACCGGACAAGAAATCTACATCATCAATCTGGATCGACAAGTTGGTTTCAGACATTGGAACTACGTTTGTAAGCAAATTTTAGCGATGTGCCTTAGTTCTACAATATAAAGGGGACATCTTATGTAAACCTCACCCATGATATGGTGAGGTTTGTATGAGGCGGCATATATTCCAATCTCGTCGAATATATGCAATTTTAGTATCCAAAACCTCTATGGTAACTCAAAAATAGAGCTTTAAAAATATATTTTTACCCCCAATTATGTAATTAAAAGTGTAGAAAAAATATGCAGATTGATTAGAACTGTAAACATTTGAAAATCATGAAGATCAACAGTCCAAATAATTATCTTGTGGTGCACTAGTTATGGGATTTGAAATCTTTTTTTATTTTTCATTTTTGAATGTTGGGGTATCTCTAGCATATGAAGTGTTACCTTACTCTTATAGTGTAAGATTGACATCTTCTATACTCTTTTTTGTAGAACAACAGCAAAAAAAAAACAGAAAAAGAAAAAAAGAAAAAGAAAAAAAAAGAAAAAGAAAAAAGAAAAAGAAAAAAAAAGAAGCCCTGAGGAGGTCTTGAAAACAAATCCAAACAATTTATAGCTAAAATTATGAAGAGCGCACTCAACTTTTCTCCTTCAATCAAAAATTCTATTTAAAGGGATTTTTCTTATATGTTTGGGATCCGTTTTTTAAAATCGGCATGCATCAATAGATCTTGAGTCAAACATTTAGATATGGCTAAGCTTTCTATACTTCTCCTACAACATGAAATTTCTATACACCCCCTATCCAACTGTCCATTCTAAGTGGATGGCTCAGATGGCCCCAATCATAATGTCACCCTTTATACTATTTTATTTTTAATTTTTTTTATACAAAACATTTTAATACCAAAATTTGCTCGTTCAATCCTCTCTTGAACTTGCACCTACAAAAATTATAAAAACAATGTTTTCAATAAAATAAAATACCTAAAATGCCTCTGAAAGTTTCAGAAGTATTTTGATCAATGTATTTTATCAAATATATATATATATATATTTTAATATTTTATTTAGGTGCACCCAATTGAGGTGATGGCACGTACCAAATTTCATATTCATATGCAGAGCCGTTACTCATAAAAATACTTGGGTTCTATTGTACTTTATTATACTCTAATATAAACAAGATCATGACTAAGAGGTGACCCTCACACTTCCTTGAGAAATTACTTTCTCGAACATAAAACTCTCATATCCTCAAGTACTCGGGGTATAAGAATCTGGGCCCCGTTTGGTAAAGCGCCCAGAGTATATCTCTCAATCACTCCCACTCAATGAGAGTATTGGTATTTAGGCCTTGAAAGGCCATATACCCAACTGAGAAGAGGGATAAGAAGGTGCAGAGGTGGATGGTGGCAGAGCAGGAGGCTAATGATGCGAGTAGACCTGAATCGGGGTTGAAACAACTAATTTTACACGTAGTTTTTTTTGCAAACCACTTGCGCCTGTAAGACTTAACCCCTTAGCATCCTCACCAAGGTCCTCCTCCGCTGTGCTACCGGTCCTCCTGTTTAGTCGCCCATGCACTCTGATCCTTCATGGTTGTTTTGAAATTTTCCTGTCTTCTAGACAATCGACCCGTGCCTCCAAAGTTCTTCAAACTTGGTCACTCTCATGGACTCATGACGTCCTTCCTCCACGCCGCTACTCTTAGCCGCCACATTCACCATAAAGTAAGAAAGGGAAGGGGGGCTAAGGAAAAGAAAATTTTTTTTTGCTTCGCTAAGTCAACTATAGACCTCCTGGTCTTGG